AGACTTCTTGCTGAATATCATATAATGTTATAACTTGATTTGGACCATTTCCTGATTGATCATTCTGAAATTTTGATTGTGATTCATGATTGATTGGCAAGAAAAATAATTCCTATTGTTTTCCAGCGAAGTCAAAATGTTACAGCATGAGTTATAATGTCGAGTTTGCATCATGTTAAATTCTGCTAGTGATTAGAAGTCCATGCACAAGCACACACATAAGAGACAAACACACCCAGGCTCCAGGCCGTGGATGGAAATATAAAACTATTTAAGGCACAAACTGGTATTAATAGACCGATATGTAGTGTCTGCCATGTATTGAAGGTAAACCAATCTGCATTATTAATGTTTCTTCTATCAATACATGGATTGTGCAATGGAAAAGCAATGGCACAATCAAAAATGTGCATATCAATCGTGAATATCTCTCGGTTCAAAGCTTATTTCCAACAGAATCGTGTCAAAATATGTGTCTGAGTAACAGTTATACATTATAAGATCGCAAACTCTTACCAATTATCAGCCGAATGGCTCATTTTCAACGAAATGTCCTTAAGACAACAGCCCTGGGTCGCGCCTGAGACCAAAGACTATTTCAAATAGCCCTCCCCTAATTATATTGGATAATCACATTTATGCGTGCGCGCGCAGCTCATCCACTGAACGAAACACCACTTCCCGCTGAAATCACCGGGTATTGATCTTTCCCTTGCTTGTAAGCGTGAAAGTTACAGGTTTTACGTGTAAATGAGCGATTACACGTCGCTCATTACGTGATTGATTTCAGCTATGTTTTAGGATGGCCCAGTATCAGATATTTGATACAGATAATCTTGCTTGTTATATTGTTAAACCCCAATCTTTCATTTGAAATAAAAATACATTCTAATGGGTAAATGACAACTTCAAATGTGAACGTTTTGTTTCATTCTCTACAATATAAATAGGCAGGGCCAATTTGATACCCGGGGCTAAGTTCAATATGTATAATGAACGAAATGAAATGACAACCATTTGATTTGCGAACGAAGCATTTTCTTTGAATTACGTCCGCCCTTGATATGAGCAAAAAGTGAGTCACCACATAAATATCAAGAATATTTGACTGGTTGAAAGCTACACGTTTAAATGCAAACCGTGAACCTGAGCGTAAAAACGTTTTACGCTCAGGTTCACGGTTTGCATTTAAACGTGTAGCTTAACCTCTCTAATAATGCAAAATGACGTGCGTTCGTTCGGACAAATAATGATGCAAAATGACAAGCGGTCGGACAAATAATGATGCAAAATGACAAGCGGTCGGACAAATAATGATGCAAAATGACAAGCGGTCGGACAAATAATGATGCAAAATGACGAGCGTTCGGACAAATAATTGAGACTTTAAGCAATGCATACTAGAGAGGTTAAGCTACAAGTATTTGACAAAACTTGAACGTGAACTTCAATGCACACGCAGATAAATGACGTCAGATTTGTTTATTTCCTGTGGGCCAGCGTGAATTTTACAGGTTTTTACTTGAGATTATCATATTCGTTCGTATTGAAGACTGTTTAAGAACGAAGAAGCTAATTATTTCAGACATATTTCCCGACCACAGCCAGTTTGAGCCCGTTTTACGACGTTTTCGTAGGACTGGCAAGAACGGGTAAGAACGAGTTTGGTGTGATAGGGGGGTTAGACTACACATCATCGTGTACTATGCCATGGATCGTTATACAACTGGTTTTCTATGATACATATTTTAAACATTCTCGTTTCGTAAGATATTTGGAGCTAAAACATGTATGACACACATCATTTTCTCTAAAAAGCATTATACTATGCATCGAAATCAAACTTATCTGCAAAGTATTCAAAAGTCATGAGTATACTGATTCCCGTTCCCACCAACGTGAAATTGCAAATCTCCCGTTCTAAACATCAAAGCTGATCGGGTATCTGATATAGACTAAGTAGCGCTTGTTTTGTATGCGCGCTATATACATTACTGTATTGATTCATTGGCTTTGCGTACACGGTTACGTTGTGAAAAATATCGCTAGCTTAAAGGGGCAATAAGGACGGTAGAGAAAATTCGATTTTTTTTCTTTTTTTCTGAGCTATCAGGTCAATATTTGGCTTAACATCTTCTTTGACATACCTATTTTCTTAAAATGTATGGATAAACTCTCAATTTCAGCATTAAGAAGTGTAAATTCAGTTCAAAGCTTCAATGACATAATATTTATAAAAAAGTTGAGTTGACGAAATTCCAGCATTTAGCTATTGATTTACAACCTCTTGAGCTGTTGAGTCTTCCTACAGGGTGACCCGAAAAGCAGAGGCGCGTAAAGTATTAGCATTTGATGATGTTAAATGAGATGTTCTTTCTTGAAACAGCAAAGTTACATAAAAATACATGGTGGATATTTGGCAGATAGACGTAGTTCATATTAATGTGCAAAATAGACACTGAATATACATTTATTATATTTATTTCAAACTCTATGAAGATGCATGGATTTGTAATGAAACGCCTCACAATAATATGCTCTAAAAGGATTTTTTTTAATTAAAGGGAGAGTAAGTTTCGAAAAAATCACATTTTTACAACATAGTCTTGCTTCTTGAAAAGATCGCTTCAAACATTTTACACTCGCTATCCATTCTAATTCCTCTACATGAACTTGCATTGTTTCAATATAATATTAAAGAGGGAATCAGATATAGCGAGCAGGCTAAACAAAAAATTGTTTCAATTTTAGAATATTTTTGGCTCATGTCATTTCTTGTCATGCTTATTTTCTAAAAATCACAAAAGTGCATACTTTATTCCAGGAAAACTAAAGATTTTTACAATAATGTTTTATTTTTCTATAAGAATGGTTACTATTCTTATTATTTGGGAGAATTTAAACATTTCCACCCATTTTTGCACTTTGAATCATTAATAACTTCACCAATTTATAACATATTGTGAATCTTTTGGGAGATATTGTATTTGATTTTGTAAGGAATAGATTGGTAGGTCAGTTATACATGTTGCTTGTAATTTTGTCACCCCCTATAGATCATATTCTGCCTTTAATGTATAGTTTACATTGGATGCAAACGAGGTTATGGATATACATTATTATACATGTATGAATATTGTAATGGTCCTTCCCCCTATGTTATCTTATACTTTACATTGAGCTTGGATTGTTTTGAAACGGGTCACGGCCAGTTTTCAATTAACTTTTGAAATGCCCATTTTATGTCTCTTTTGTGTCTGACCACGAAGATTAAATTCTGTAAAAGGTACGTGTTAATATGGTTAAAGCAGTTCTAGTTTTCTCGAGGGATTCATTGCTCTTTGAAACCTATAAACCGTTTCGCAACCATTGTCTTGCATGTGTTCGAATAAAATATTAAGCTGTCAACTCTCGCATTTAATATGTCAACTCTTGCATTAACGAGATAAACAATCAACGTACTTTTTGTTATATGCTCAATTCAGATTGTCGATTTCGTTCATTTTTTTTATTTGGATAGACCCGGATTATATAGGCCACCGAAAAGAAATGATTGAGCAGACGTTGAATCAAAACATGAAAGTTAACGCCAATGCACAGAAATGAAAGGTCTGCGGTAAATAAAGATAAAACTTCTTATTGAAGCTAAACCATAAACAGATGTAGTTATTGGGCTATGGCACCGTCTGATCTCTCGTGGGACATTTTACTCGGGAAATTAATTTGTCATATATTTCTGCATACTGTTTGCGTTAACTTTCTCAACAGGGACATCGAATTTAAGCTAACGGGCCTTGACTTGGACCTTTTACACTGAAGATACCTTGTTTTTTGTGGAAGAGTCATCACTTATGAGTGGCTCATACTACAAACATTATAGATATTGGGTAGATATGAGAGTTTGAGGATAAGAAGGGACGTGATGAAGGGGTGCACATTTTGTAAACGTTAGGCATATGACACTGCGTTCGTATCGTAATGTTCACGATACGTCACAAAACACAAAACAACTTTGTGTTGATTTATGCCATGTTTCGGCTCAAGATTCTTTGTATATAAAATCCCATGTGTGTGCTTACAATGTATCCTTATTTCCCGGGCGTCCCGTACGCAACAATCATGACAGATCGGAACTCTGATAGCTACATTTGACAAAACATATTTATGCCCTTTATAATTTCTAAGTAAGATCCATCTCATTCGCTATTGATTCCTCTCCTCTTTCCTTGCAAAGATATGGCGATTCAATTATCTTCACGTATAGGGCACATAGCACTGGGTCGTACGAAGGTCGTCCAATAAAAACTGATACAAACCCTCTTCATTTCATGTTTTATGAGGAAGGTGCGATATCTAAATACTGAGTAAATAATGAAATACTGGTCATTTAATACAACGTATCGAGGTGTTTTTTCACTCTTATTAAAGGCCCATGAACGTTTAAGTTGGTCTATTCGCAAGGAAGTCCAGTTTTAGTATCTATTGAACGACCTTCGTATAATTCTAATTCTGGCGACATTAGTTAAATTTTTTTACCAACGCATTAAATAACATTAACACGTTGGAAATTGAACGCGACTTCAATTGATTTCCTGATGATTGATGAAGGCTTTAACCTACAAAAATAATGATCAGAAATATACATTTCTGAAATGGTTTAAAACTCAATTATTTGCCAAAACATCCGTATGAGTACTTTGCGATCATCGACTAATGGTGTTTTAATGACTGTACATTAGCATTGGTCATAATACCGTAGCATTATTTTTATTAATCATTTACAGCTGAAGTCAACACGAAGTTTGTCATTTAGTCTATATTATTGTTTTATATCAGGTGTATTTAATATGAGATATAATCCACAGTTCCTCACTCCACTCCATTACATCTTACTTAAAACAGAGGGATATAACAATTTATGTATTTGCTTAAAAACAAGTTTACGTGACACATAACATTCAATAGTGTATTTTTATATAATATTGTACCTTCATTTTCAGCCAAATACCTTACAAATGATGTGTACTCCAACCAGAGTGTCGGTTCTGCTGCTATGTGCTCTGTTCTGCCTGTTCCAAGTCTCAAAGGCGACAACAATGTGCAAAGCCATCTGTGCCAATATCGCCAAGGAGGACTCACAAGCTTTTTGCGAGGCACGTATATGTGACATTTTTGATGATATCGAGCGACAAAAAATATTGTCTGCCATCGCGGAAAATGCTCTTCTTAGGACTTCAGGAGGAGGCCTCCTTGCAGATACCGACAAACGTCAAGCGGGTTTTTTACGAATAGGACGCGGTGGTTTGGAGGATAGTGACATGTATGCTGTTAAACGGGCTGGTGGATTTCTTAGAATTGGTAGAAGTTTTGGTGACAATTCAAAAAGAGCTAGTTCGTTTCTGAGGATCGGGCGTGGTAATGGCGAGTTAGAAGAAAATGAGGCCGACTTCAGGTCAGATTCATTTCCAAGTGAAGGCAACAAGGATGTAGCTAAGCGAGCCCCCAATGCATTCCTACGCATTGGAAAGAAGGATAATGACAAACGAGCTCCAAGTTCATTCTTACGTATCGGCAAAGCTATTAATGATGATGAGAAGCGAGCAAGTTCATTTTTGAGAATAGGAAAGAAGTCTGATGGCGTGACTGAGGGGAAAAGGGCCAGCTCATTTGTGAGAATAGGGAAGGATATGGCAGACAAAAACAAGCAAAATAGTTTGAATTTCCAAGATAAAAGAGCCAGTTCGTTTTTACGAATAGGTAAAAGCAACGACAAACGAGGACCTAATGCATTTTTGCGAATTGGTAAGAAAGACGATGACGACGATGATGGTAAACGTGCTAGTTCATTTCTCAGAATTGGTAAAAAATCAAATGGTTCAATAACTCAAAAACGAGGGTTCGGATTCGTCAGAATTGGTAGAAATGTATTGAAATCGGACGCTGAAAAACGAGCAAACTCATTTGTACGAATAGGAGGCGAACAAACTAAACGACAAGGTTTTTTAAGGATCGGTAAATCAGTAAATGATAAACGACAAGGTTTTCTACGTATTGGAAAATCAACATTTTAGTAGCGAACGTCATGAAACGTCCTTGAAAATTTGAATAAGAAATACAAAAGTCTTGACTGTCTTTATCATTCAATCCTGATTGCCGATCTCAAAATTACTTTAACAAACTCACTTATACACATTTTCCCTTTAATATGATTGATGGCCAGTATACACTTACAAATGACTTATTTTGGGTTTATGAAAAGATTTGACATTCAAAAACGATGTTCGAAACGATAATTAGTGCTAAGAGCAAGGTGTATACTATTCCTTCGATTGTTAGGGAGGAGAGGGTCAAATTAAATATTCTAATATTACGATGTCTCCACTGGGTAGAGTTATTGTGTTGAGCATGATACAGCACCACTTGAGAGAAGTCAATGAAATATTTGCTCCATCAAAAAGCTAGTTTTTTTACTGAAATAGACTTTCTAGTATAAATTCAAAGCTACAGTGGTATACATGAACGCTTGGAGAACACTGTGATAAAAACTGGATATATTTTAAACAACTTTTGAAAGAGTTTTTAGTGGATGAAATATCTGGATTTCAGTTGATCAACTAGGAACCATTTTAAGTGCATAAAGCAGGATAGACCTTTTTATAACATAGCCAATTATTACAGCCAACATAGGCTAGCAAAGGGCTATAGTAATTACCTGAATTAGAACTAACAGGTCCTACAGTAATTACCTAAATTTGAACTAACAGGTATTTACAATGGAAAACCCAACAATGACATTGACACAGTTGCTGCCAGATACACAAACACAGGCTTTGGCAGATGTTGAACCAGAGCATATTTGTACACATGGAAATTGTCTCAATGACTCTACAGTATCATCAGATTCTGACACAAATCAGAATACAATTTCACTTAACGATGGACTTATAGCATCAGGACAGGATAGCCCTCGGCGTGTAGATAATGTTGTCATGATGATTCCTGACTCTCAGCCTCCTGATTCTCCAGGAACATCCCCTCAACCTGCGCGCCGTTCAACACGTATTACTGCTAAACGACATCCCAAGACCCCCAGGACCCCACACACCACGCAAAGGAAGAGAGGACGTCCCGCCAAAACCATGTCACAGCCAAATCCAACACGCACATTGAATCGTAATGCTAAGGCGAATAGCAATATTGATCTTAATAACCTCATGTCAACTGTCTTGGACATACAGACCACAGTTAACACCTTGAAACAGTTGAACGATACAAATAGTGAACTTGTTAAACAACTCGCTCGTAAAACTGCAGATAATGAGGAACTTCATAAAGAATTGAATGACCTTAGAAAAACCGTGAACAAACTAAAGGAAGTGAAGCATGCCCCGCAGCCAAACCCCAAATCCCTCATAATAGGTTCATCAATTATCCGGGACATAGATGAAACAAAGCTCATTGATACCGAAGTGGACTGTATTCGTGGAGGCAAAATAGCTACCATACACAACAAACTTCTCAAGAAAAAAGAGAAGTATGACCACATCTATCTGCAAGTTGCCAGTAACGATTGCGCCGAAAGAGACGATGTGAAACTAATATCTGAGGATTATGCCCTTCTCATTAAGACAGCAAAACAGCTTTGCAATAGCCTCACCGTATCCAGTGTAACCCCCCGTCTAAATGATCTGACTGTGCAAGAACGAATCAACCAGCTTAACGGTTTCTTGTTATGCCACTGCCAGGATGAGGCTGTAACATTCAACGACAATGACATTAACTTCAAGCTTCGCGACGAGTCTATCAATAACGGATACCTATGTCCAGATAAACTGCATCTAAGTGACGCTGGAACCAATAGTTTGGTTAAAAACCTCAAACTGAAAACCACATGTGATGATGTCACTTTACCCCGTAACAAAAGGAACAGCCCTCAAACTAAGACCAGCCGCAAGGAACATCAACCAAAGAACCCTCCAACGACAACTTCAACACTTACATCAACCAACACAAGACAATCAGGATATATCAACACCAACAAGCCAAGATCCATGAACACTTATACACAAAATCGTAACAGCACCAATAAGGACATGTCCTGCAATAAATGTGGGGAGAGTCATCTCCCTTCCACATGTTGGCACCCAACCGCTGTACGCTGCCATTTTTGTAAAACAATTGGACACAAACAATCACGATGCCCCAATAAACCCAATGATATTCCTCCTGCAAGGGGTCATTTAAATGTCATGAAGGACAATCATTATGTTAATCGTGTCCAGTCTTTTGAATATGATCATCAGAACAATGACTTTCTTGGAAATAATAGGTTTTCCGTACTTACCCATTATTAGAGTAACGGCAATGAGTCTGCCTTATCCCCCAATGTCACGAAAGATAAAGCCTCATTCCCCAATGATATAAAAACCCGACATCGAAGGTCTAAACGCAGCCGTAAGGCTAAATGCCAAAATGACAATCTCAGTGTTACATTTGCTTATAACAATGTAAATATTTTAGGTAAAGCTAAGCAGCAAGAGCTGAAACATTTGCTAGAAACAAATGACATAACATTAATGGCTGTTGCGGAAACATTTTTTAATGACAAACGTCCTCTTATTGTTAAAAGTAATAATCATAAATGGTACGATAAAAACCGCGCTAAATCTGAAGGTGGGGGAATTGGATTTTTTGTTTCTTCTGAAAACTGCAAAGTACTTAATGACGACCTTTTGAGCTCAAAAAGGGATGATTTCGAACGATACTGGATCCGGGTAAAAATACATGATCAAACTTTAAGTGTTGGTATTACCTATTATCCTAATGATGGTAAAGATCCAGAACGTAGTCATGCTCTTACTGATGAATTAATCTCAAATATTGCAACTCTAGAAAATACTGGTGATTTTGTGCTATTAATGGGTGATTTCAATGGCAAGCTAAACAAATTCAATAAAAATGACTCCCCCAGTCCTAATGGTGAAATTGTTGAAACATTATGTGAAGTCACAAACATGCAGGTTCTAAATTTGTCAAGTAAGTGTAATGGTTCATATACATGGTTTCGAGGAAATATAACATCCACAATTGATTATTTGTTATGTAACCAAGCCCTTTATGATAAGCTTTCCTCTATGATAATTGATGAGGAAGGTAATTTTTCAATTGGAAGCGACCACTGCATGATTATGACGGATTTTGATATAAAAAAATCTAGTACAAACTCATGTAAGCCAGTTTTGAGACATATTAACAAAACCAGTCCTGATGCATGCCTTTGGAAAATGAATGATAAAACAGATTGGAAACTTTTTAAGTCTGCTTTAAATGATGATTTTGCAGACTGGAACCCCAAGGTTTTTGCAACCCCTGAAGAAATGTGGGTCTGTTGGAGGGATAAAGTCATTAATACAGGGAATAACACGATTGGTCACATGAACATATCACTAAACCATAGATCCTTTTGGGATAAAGAACTAAAAAAGCTCATCCAGAGTCGTAAGGAAGCTAACCAGTTTTGTAGGTACTGGCGAGCCTCTGGCCTCTCCGATCTCGATTGTTTTGACGATATTTGGAAAATTTATATTGAAAGGAAAGACCGAGTCCGACAATATATTAAAGAAAAGATGGTAAGAAAACACATAAAGGTTCTTACTAAAAATGCTTCTAAAAAATCATCAAGCTCAAGATCTTATTGGCGAACTCTTAATATGTTTAATCAGCAAAATGATACCCCCATAAAAGTACAACACCCCGAATACCCGGACATAATTATTGATGACCCAAAAAGAGTCGCTAAAATAATGAATGACTACTGGGCTAATGTTGGCCCCAAAAATCGCAACCCACAATCACCAGAGATTGAAATATCAAAACATGCTGAGAAGCTTGACAATATTGAAAACAAGCTAAATGATCCGCATTCCAGCCATTTTGACTTTGATATCATCGATCAGCTCATCTTTGATTCCGAAACTTTAGTCTCACATATAAAACGGCTCCCAAATGGTAAAGCAGTAGGGACTGATATGATACCCTATGAATTCATTAAGTATGGAGGTACATCAATGATTAGAACACTCCTAGATATTTTTAAAATTTGTAAAACACATGAAACATATCCATCCCAATGGAAGGAAGGTATTTTAAAACCCCTTCATAAAGGCGGAGTTAATGAATCACTTGACAATTTTAGAGGAATCACTATTACTTCAAATGTTTACAAACTTTTTTGTTCTTTAGTAAATACTCATCTTATGTCCTTTTTCGAAAGCAAAAATGTGTTTGGAGATTTTCAAGGAGCATATAGGAAAAATCAGCGTCTTGAAAACCATGTTTTTAAATTGAAAGCATTATGCAGCCTAAGAAAAGATAAGAATGAAAAAACCTTCCTTGCATTCCTTGATATTTCCAAGGCATTTGACGTCATGGATCGCGACCTTTTGTTTATTAAACTTTGGGAAAAAGGCGTTAGAGGCAAAGCATGGCGATTGTTGAGAGAGATGTATAAAAACATAAAGAACAAAGTAAAGTTAAATAATGGATACATTGGAGATTCATGGTTCACCACAACTTGTGGTGTAAAGCAGGGTTGTACTCTTTCCACAACACTGTTTTCAATTGTAATGACAGATCTCCAAGACGAACTTTTAAAAGCAAATGTTGGGATCTCATTTAAGGACCAAAAATTCCCAAGTTTGATGTGGGCTGATGACATTGTCCTTCTCGGTCAATCAGAAAATGACTTGAAATCTATGTTACAAGTTGCAAATAAGTTCGCAATTAAATGGGGGTTTAGATTTAGTGAGAAAAAATCCAAAATTATGGTCATAGGTAAGAAAATTGATAAACTTAAACTTTGGTCTTTGGGAGATCTTAAATTAAATGAGGTTCAAACATATAAATACCTAGGAATTTTTATTGATAGGTCCTTAAAAGATTCTTGTCACATCATTGACAAACTTGCGCCAAACGCGGTCAAGCTGAAAAACCATATTTCATATACCCTTAGTAAACATCTCAATGCTAAGAGGATTGATTTTGGGAACACGTTATATACAAGTAAATTTCTACCAAGCATCTTACATGGGTGTGGTGTATGGGTTACAGATACAAAAGTGATCAGAAATAAACTTCAGTCGATGCAATATAACGCAGCGCGAGCAATTTTCAATATCAAAAGCACTCCGGCATATATTGGCGCTATAAACGAGCTAGGATGGACTCCTATACATTTTATTGTGCTGAAACGACAAGTTGAATACTTTTTTCATCTTTTAGGCAAAAGTGAGAATTCTCTTATAAGCAACCTCATCGCAGCTTTGTCACATAGACTTAAAAATAATAAAACCAATAGCTGGAAATACATTGAACAAATGGATGACATTCTGTCCTCCATCGGCTTCGATGGCATAAGTCATGATTCTGATGAAATGATTAATGAATACGATAACAGGATAAGGGAAGAATGTAAATCTTATACTAAGAATGAAATTGATCAAAAATCATCCTTATCCTTTTATAGTACGCTTTCCACCAGAAAAGGACTTCAAAACTACCTTAGAAATGACTATGACTTTCAGGGCGCAAGGATAAAGTTCCTTGCGAGATTAGGAAAGTTCCAATTAAAAAGTGAAACATGTAGATGGAAAAATAAACTTTCGGACCCCAATTGCAATTTTTGTACAAATATGATTGAAACGGTAGAACATAGACTTCTACTCTGTCCCCACTATAATGACCATCGTAATGTGTTCTTCAAAACAATTGAAAGCAAAATTCCATCTGCCCTGAGTGAAACATTCTTCGCGTCTTCACCTGAATATAAACTTCAATGGATTCTAGGTGATGAGGCTTTTAGACTTGGGGGACAAGATTTAGGTTCAACATTTGACACAGTATCTAAAATGTTTTTACTTAAGATGTATTAGTTATTTAGTATTTTAGTCGCATAGAAAATTAACCATTAAAGTTTTAGTGCAATCTTAAAGATTCTTAAGACTCAGTTTTAGATATATTATGTTTTATTGTAAAGACGCACCTCTGAAAGTGTGCCGCTGATACAAAAGCGTAGTTTTGAATAAATAAATAAATAAATATCACCGAACAGTTACAATATTGTATTTTGACAATCCATCACTAGAAATGTTTCGATTTATTTTATTCATCATGACAGCTATACATAAATAGGATAAGATATTGTTTATTAATTGTTTTGTTTCATGCATTCGTTTTTTATTAGTCGTACTTCCCACATACCAATATTTATTGATGCACGATGACATTGTTGTCCCAACCAGCTGCCATTTCCACTTGATCACAACAAATGACTCCACAATTCTGCAATTAATAAGACATTTGTTTGTCTGACAAATGGGAAAGACATCTTGTTTATGTCATTCAAGGGGATACAATCATTAGCCAGACAGCATAAAACAACATAATAGTTATGGCCATCTTAGATTAACTACAATTGCGAATTTGAAGAATATTTACATCTGCGCATGCGCACGATGAGTTTACGGAAGGGAAGGGTTTAACATTCTTGCCGTGTCAGTTTGATATTTTCAGAAGAGACCTAGGCCTACAGAACTGCGGTTCTTCGAAATAGTGTATGAATGGCGCAGGATAGATATTTTCTGTATCGTCCGAGAAATACAAATTGTATCCTCCCGGTCCCGCCCCAAATTTCGATTTTAGAAATCATTGATTGTTTAATATTGGAATAGTGAAGCCATTTATTATGAGATGTTTCACTAAGTTTTTTAAGTTTTAAAATCTTGATATGAATAGTTTTAAGTATTTGAAAAAGTTGTCAAAAACGAAACTGACTATTTTACAAAAATCCCCTTTTGAACATTTTGAAATCTTAGATGGTAGAATTCATCTAAAACCTTATTAGGAATACATCTGCAATGTACGGTCAGTTTTGGATCTAGGGTTTATTTTTCAGAAAATGTGTCCTTTGAGAAATACATAGATATCCCTCGGAATAAAACCTGAATCCAAAACTCATCAGTACATAACACGTACCTCATCTATGAATAGCTTTTCCACTCTTAAAAATGAATTACTTGAGTATTTCCCAAGTATTTCCCAAGTATAAAAATTACTTAAAGTTAATTACTTAGTTTTACTTCATTTTACTTAGGTTTAACTTATATTGTCATTTTGAGTTTTTTAATTGCTTAATTATGTAAATGAGTATTACAATTACTACAGTAAGTATTTCAATTTCTCTCCTTGCATTAGTAAATTCACCATAAATGAATTACTTAAAAATTACTTAAAAATTATTCAGTAGTTCAAGATTATTTAAGTAATTTTTGACTTAAAATGAGTAGTACAATTTCTCAATATAAGGAAATCCAAGTAATAATTTTTAAGAGTGTCTACAATTGGCACTTGCTTCATTTTTACTTTTAACCCCCAAACCTTATCGACATTTAATAATACGTAACACGATAGTCGTTAATTCGAAGGAAGATCAAATGTCAGCTGGATTTACCGCATGGAATACAGTTTATATTAAAAATGACTTATTAAAAATGTGTTTATGGTGTGTTTTACGTATTACTAAGATAATAATATAGAATGAAGGCAGCCTGCCTCACCCTTCGCAGTATTAGATTACCATAGCAACATGAAATGGAAACTGTTTGCATTGACGGAAGTTATGTAATATCCTGAAGCTCATATACAGGTTGAGCCAAAACACGAAAAATTACTTATTTTTTTGTCTGGGAATATCTTTAGAATTACAATTAGCACCTAGAGCTATTGATGTTTTGTTCAATTAAGTTCTATTCTGATATCAGGGGTAACTGGACAACTCGGACCCAGGACAACTCGGACCCAGGACAACTCGGACCCTGGACAACTCGGACCCAAGACAACTCGGACCACTTTTTTAAAATTATGATTTTAAATTATGTGGGGTTTTATTTTTTTCATTTATGAAAATTAAAACATACAATTTATATTGTGACTTCATATTTTGTATTAATATTATGAAAATGTTTTAATTTGACTTTTTGATAAAAATTAAGTTGAAGATATTGAAGCTAAAAACCAAAGACAACTCGGACCACTTTCTGAAATTATACTTTTGTTTGTCATAATAGGGGATTATTTGTTTAATGTTAAGCACGACACATATTATATATTGTGAATATATTGTATTTATTTGATGAAGATCTTTCAATAGCTAACCTTTCAATTAACCTATTTGATGAAAGTTAAGAAGTAAGACCAGTAAGAGAATATTGAAGCTGAAGACCCAAGACAACTCGGGCCACTTTTTGAAATTATAGTTAATTTAATTTAAATCAATTTCATAGAATTAACACAATATATGAATTCACAAAATATAATATATGTCATAAAAACATTAAACAAAAAAATAAGAACCCCATACAATGATAAAAACCATCAATTCAAAAAGTGGTCCAAGTTGTCTTGGGGTTTTAGCTTCAATAATATCTTACTTCTTAACTCTCATCAAAATGTTAATTTAAAACAATTTTATCAAATTAACATAATACATGTATATGAATTCACAATATATAATATATGTCAAAATAAACATAAAAAATAATTAAAACAAAATATAATGATAAAAATCATCATTTCAAAAAGTGGTCCGACTTGTCTTGGGTCCGAGATGTCTTGGGTCCGAGTTGTCCAGGGTCCGAGTTGTCCAGGGTCCGAGTTGTCCAGAAACCATATCAGGTAGTGTATGTTATTATAAATTCACGTGAAAACATTTGACTTTTGGGTATGTTTTCAATTCAGTACCTTCCAAAAAATATATTGGCTTATAGTTTTAATACAATCATAAAAATAACATATAACAGTATGTAACAATAAATCCACACTCATGTTCTTCAAATCACGTATTTATTGAATTGCAGCTCCACCGTATGTCCCATGTTAACTAGTCCCCACATTTTACGTATTTGTCGAAAAGCAACTCCGCCAAATGTCGCACTCAATGAAAGTCACACTCTTTAAGTATTTATAGAATGGCAGCTCCACCATATGTCTAAAACGATTTATGAAATGCTTTTAGATAACCGTTTTTTAACCCAACAAATGAGTGACATGAACATTTTCAATTTTTTGAAAAACGTTCGTAATTAATGATTCTAGCTATTTCAGTGACAACCTCTATCAGCATGGTAATTAGAAGCATTACTTTTTTAATAAAATGTATGTGTTGACCGATGCGGCCCAAATAATTTTGTATTAAGAGATGTCAGATTTGTGTCGAATTCCACCTGCAACACGCACATACATTACCTGTGATCAATGCTGGTGTCAGCTAAAACATAGATGCAACCCGTAACAGACACAGATGTCACCCGTGTAAAACGCTGGTGTCAGCTACAAAACAGATGCAACCTGCAACATGGACATACGTCACCTGTAATAAACCGTGGAAATAAATTAGAGTATTCATGTCCAATTTTGTTTTCTTGGTCGTGGTCGGATATTCGCCCACATTTATTTTCTCGAATCTTTGAATATTTTAACAGGATGCTCCCTCCCTTCTATAAACCATCAAGTTTTTACAAACCTGCTTTATGTACCTATAACACGTCCAAGTATGGGATAAAATTGTTTATCCCATACTTGGACGTGTTACAGGTACATAAAGCCGGTTTGTAAAAACTTATATTTTCATCAGCGGGCAGATATAGCTTTACGTCCCGCTCCGAGCGGGCAGATATAGTATATCTGCCTGCTACGTCATAATCGCTTTTCCTGTATTGGTTCTTTTTTGTAACGTTCGCATACTGTGAACGACAATGGAGAAAAACGCAGAAAATCGCCGGATCTGTTTGATGCTTTAAAGAAGGGAAGGAGCAGTATACCCCGTTGGTAATCAAAGGTTTGAACAGGAAAAGAAACAAGAATACAGTTTAGTTTTGTTAAAAATAGTTTATTTTTGTGTCACTGACATTACAATATACATATAAAATACATAATAAAAACAACATTTTGTAACATCACCAGCCGGTGCCGACTTATGAGACACAGTATACATTATATCTGAGTGTCACCCATTACTACCCCCAATGGGCAGCTTGGGTCAACACTCATAATACAAAACTGGACATTAATATGTTAAAATAATTCTACGGTTGGTTGCAAAGTTTCTGAACTAATTTGGCCAATTGAACAATGTGATTGGTATAGGATAAACAGATCATCCTATAGTCGGTTCAGGATATTTGGATTATCCCTTGGCCAATATATTATATCTACCCTCGGGACCTACGGCCCTCGGGCAGATATATTATATTGGCCTCGGGATAATCCCAATATCCTGAACCTCATATGGGATAATCTCTATATATGTTATGACGCTATGCACGCCTTTCATATAGCTATAAACATTCATGATCAGTATTGCACAAAGCATTATAATGCACTCTGTTATACCATGACGGCTACGTCACGGCGATTTGCAAAATGTTTCGGTAACGAATTGGGAAAATTTGAAGGCATTGGAAATGAAATCGATTTCATTTCCATTAATAGTATAGGTGTTTGTCTCACAGGTTATATAAATAAAACTTCAAACATCAATAGGCTTTAACACGTAGTTCAATGAGGGAGTTAAAGGGACATTCCTCGCCAGACCATTTCTCTCCTGATATGTGTAAACTAAGGACTACAGAGTTCTTGGTTTAGTTTGTTTCTTTATTGTCTTAATATCATAATAAAAACCCTGGAACATACAAAAATAAAAGAGTTACAATTCAGATCTATGACTTACAAAAATGACAAGATCGTAATGAAATAAACGTATTTACTGTATACTGTTATGAACTGATTGAGACATATTTTATATGTCTAGCTAAATCTTTGTACATATATGGACATCTGAGTAAGTCTTTAAATTGTACATATATGGCAATCTTACATTATATAGCACCAAACATGTCAAACAGATCCTAGCTTAGAAAACCTACCCAGGAACTACACTGCACTAGTATCTCCTGTAGACCATGGGGTTGATAGAACACCTATATAACATCTGGTCTTGATCAACACTAGAATGAAATGAAGGAGTTCAAAATATGACTTACAAACACTCTTAAATCATGTAACAAATCACAAAATCAACACAAATTGAATATCTTTCCATACAGAAATTACAAAAAATATTAAATCCTAAAAAATCTCATCAATGCTAAATAACATGCAATCTAATCTGTTTTCTTCATAAAGTCAAGTTTGAAATATAATAAATCCAACCATACCTGACTTCATTAAGGGTTTTCTACCTAAACTTAGGTTATTGATGTAGAAACGAGTGAATTTCTACAAGAAATTCAAAAATCAAATTTGGAAACATGCCTTTTATCCAAGATGGCCGACCTACTCTCTTAACCAATGAGATTGCGTAAAAAGTAATTTACAGCGGGAAGTTTAAACACATAAAAGTTTCAAACTATTTAGCTTGGTTACATATTCCCGGGCCATCTTTTATGTTGCCCTCAACATAAACTATATAAACATCTAATGCTAAATAAATACAAAAGTGTTAACTTTACATAGGTCCTTTTAATTTGAGCAAACTGTACAATAATATGTATGCTTGTATCAGAACTTTACATAGGTCCTTTAAATTTTAGAAAATGGTCAAGTATAAAAATGAATACAGCACAGAGTACTCCTTAAGAGAAAGATGAATATTGGTACACATATCTTGTGAAATGAATCAATGCTTGACCTAAGTCCACATTCATTGAATACAATCCAATACTGTCTATACTTCTGCATCTACATACTCTTTTTACTCAAGTTCATAATGCACTAGTTGATGGCAAGGCTCATCAAATCCCTGAAGAGAATAAGTTTGAACACCTTAACTATACTTAATTATATACACTTGCTACAATTTATCTCTACTTTGCTTTATACTACTGTAGCATCATTTATCATAATGAACTATCACTATCTATCATCTATTTTCATGCAATTCAGCTAAGTTTTTATAACAATGTTTATTTCTTTGCTAAAGCTTGAAAAGCCTCAGTTAAAGAACTGCCTAGACTGTTTGC